ATGCTCTTGGTCACTCCAATCTACTACCTTTCTGTAATGTCTCATCTCAATACAGGCATTTGCCTGCACAGTTGTAAGTGCAACCCACAGTGTAAGTCCTTCTGAAGCCAAACTCGGATTCAGGGGGCTTTGCTCACAGATGACGAACAATGGGATCAAACATGTAAGCTGTGAATAAATAATGACTCATTTCTCTGATCTTCTGCAGCAAGATATCAACAGCTGTCTTTATTTTAATCTGCTTCAGCGTGTTCCATCCAGGATGAAGTAGTGGATCCTGAGGTGCCCAGGAAATCCCCACTGTGGACACCACCAAGGCGTGAAGAAGGGAATTCTCCATCACTGGCCTCACAATCGTGTACACTCCTAGGGAGTTGCATCAACGGAAGGTATCGTGGAAATTCAGTTGTTCAGTTCATTCATGATATGATTTCTAGATTCTTCAGTGTCTCATATTTCAGATGATTGTAAAATTGTGATACTATATTCTTTATTCCACATGTGCATATTTAAATGTGTTAAGTCAATCATTAGTGTACAGCCACAGGAGTAAAGGTGTATTTACTCCCGTAAATGACTGTTTCACAGTGATGATTCTATGAATAAAGTCCAGGGTTAGCATCAATGGCTGAGCCAATAGTGATAGATTCTTATCAACAGAAGCCCAGGGTTAGCATCAGTGACTGAGCCAATAGTGATAGATTCTTATGAACAGAAGTCAAGGGTTAGCATCAGTGATTGAGCCAATAGACACATTCTTGTTAATGAAGTCTAGGTTAGCATCAATAACTGATCCAATAGTGATAGATTCTTAAGTGAAACAGAAGTCTAGGGTTAGCATCAATGGCTAAGCCAATAGTAACACATTCTTATGAACAGAAGTCCAGGGTTAGCATCACCGACTGAGCCAATAGTGATAGATTCTTATGAACAGACATCTAGGTTGGGGCATCAATGGCTGAGCCAATAGTGACACATTCTTATGAACAGAAGTCCAGGGTTAGCATCAATGAATGAGCCAACAGTGATAGTTCTATGATCAGAAGTCCCAAGTTAGCATCAATGACTGATCCAATAGTGATAGATTCTGTGAACAGAAGTCTAAGGTTAGCATCAATGACTGAGCCAATAGTGATAGATTCTTATGAACAGAAGTCCAGGGTTAGCATAGTCCCTATGCTCTTGGTCACTCCAATCTACTACCTTTCTGTAATGTCTCATCTCAATACAGGCATTTGCCTGCACAGCTGTGGCAACCCACAGTGTAAGTCCTTTCAAGCCAAACTCGATTCAGGGGCCGGCTCTGCAGATGACGAACAATGGGATCAAACATGTAAGCTGTGAATAAATAATGACTCATTTCTCTGATCTTCTGCAGCAAGATATCAACAGCTGTCTTTATTTTAATTCAGTTTCCAGCGTGTTCATCCAGGATGAAGTAGTGGATCCTGAGGTGCTCCAGAAATCCCCTATCAGACACCACCACAAGCGTAAGAAGGGAATTCATCACTGGCCTCTTACAATCGCATAATCTTCTAGAGTTGCATCAACGGAAGGTATTGTGGAAATTCAGTTGTTCAGTTCATTCATGATATGATTTCTAGATTCTTCAGTGTCTCATATTTCAGACGATTGTAAAATTGTGATACTATATTCTTTATTCCACATGTGCATATTTAAATGTGTTAAGTCAATCATTAGTGCTACAACTACAGGAGTAAAGGTGTATTTACTCCTGTAAATGACTGAGCCAATAGTGATAGATTCTTATGAATAGAAGTCTAGGGTTAGCATCAATGGCTGAGCCAATAGTGACACATTCTTATGAACAGAAGTCCAGGGTGAGCATCAATGGCTAAGCCAATAGTGATAGATTCTTATGAACAGAAGTCCAGGGTTAGCATCAATGACTGATCCAATAGTGATAGATTCTTATGAACAGAAGTCCAGGGTTAGTATCAGTGACTGAGCCAATAGTGATACATTCTTGTTAAGAGAAGTCCAGGGTTAGCATCAATGATTGAGCCAATAGTGATAGATTCTTATGACAGAAGTCCAGGGTTAGCATCAGTGACTGATACAATAGTGACACATTCTTGTTAACAGAAGTCCAGGGTTAGCATCAATGACTGAGCCAATAGTGATAGATTCTTATGAACAGAAGTCTAGGGTTAACATCAATGGCTGAGCCAATAGAGACACATTCTTATGAACAGAAGTCTAGGGTTAGCATCAATGATCGAGCCAATAGTAAATACACTTCCTATGAGCAGAAGTCTAGGGTTAGCATCAATGACTGATCCAGTAGTGATACATTCTTGTTAAGAGAAGTCCAGGGTTAGCACCAATGGCTGAGCCAATAGTGATAGATTCTTATGAACAAAGTTCAGGTTGGGGCATAGTCCCTATGCTCTTGGAATACTCCAATCTACTACCTTTCTGTAATGTCTCATCTCAATACAGGCATTTGCCTGCACAGTTGTAAGTGCAACCCACAGTGTAAGTCCTTTCTGAAGCCAAACTCGATTCAGGGGCTTTGCTCTGCAGAGATGACTTCCAACAATGGGATCAAACATGTAAGCTGTGAATAAATAATGACTCATTGATCTTCTGCAGCAAGATATCAACAGCTGTCTTTATTTTATTTCAGTTTCCAGCGTGTTCCATCCAGGATGAAGTAGGATCCTGAGGTGCCTGGTGAAATCCCCATCAGACACCACCACAAGCGTAAGCAGAAGGGAATTCCCATCACTGGCCTCTGCCAATCGTACACCCTAGAGTTGCATCAACGGAAGGTATTGTGGAAATTCAGTTGTTCAGTTCATTCATGATATGATTTGTAGATTCTTCAGCAAGGTCTCATATTTCAGACGATTGTAAAATTGTGATACTATATTCTTTATTCCACATGTGCATATTTAAATGTGTTAAGTCAATCATTAGTGCTACAGCTACAGGAGTAAAGGTGTATTTATTCTGTAAATGACTTGAGCCAATAGTGATAGATTCTATGAATAAAGTCTAGGTTAGCATCAATGGCTGAGCCAATAGTGATAGATTCTTATCAACAGAAGCCCAGGTTGTGGGGCATCAGTGACTGAGCCAATAGTGATAGATTCCTATGAACAGAAGTCAAGGGTTAGCATCAGTGATTGAGCCAATAGTGACACATTCTTGTTAACAGAAGTCTAGGGATAGCATCAATGACTGATCCAATAGCATAGATCTATGAACAGAAGTCTAGGGTTAGTAATCAATAATGGCTAAGCTTGGACAGTAACACATTCTATGAACAGAAGTCCAGGGTTAGCATCAATGACTGAGCCAATAGTGATAGATTCTTATGAACAGACATCTAGGGTTAGCGTCAATGGCTGAGCCAATAGTGACACATTCTTATGAACAGAAGTCCAGGGTTAGATCACGAATGAGCCAATAGTGATATGTTCTTATGATCAGAAGTCCGGGTTATGCATCACGACTATCCAATAGTGATAGATTCTCATGAACAGTCCAGGGTTAGCATCAATGACTGAGCCATAGTGATAGATTCTTATGAACAGAAGTCTGTGGGGTTGGGGGGGATAGTCCCCATGCTCTTGGTCACTCCAATCTACTACCTTTCTGTAATGTCTCATCTCAATACAGGCATTTGCCTGCACAGTTGGGCAACCCACAGTGTAAGTCCTTTCTGCCAAACTCGATTCAGGGGCTCTGCTCTGCAGATGACGAACAATGGGATCAAACATGTAAGCTGTGAATAAATAATGACTCATTTCTCTGATCTTCTGCAGCAAGATATCAACAGCTGTCTTTATTTTAATTCAGTTTCCAGCGTGTTCCATCCAGGATGAAGTAGTGGATCCGGGAGGTGCCCAGAAATCCCCATCAGACACCACCACAAGCGTAAGAAGGGAATTCTCCATCACTGGCTCACAATCGTGTACACTCAGGAGTTGCACTTCAACGAAGGCATTGTGAAATCAGTTGTTCTTTGAGTTCATTCCATGATATGATTTCTAGATTCTTCAGTGTCTCATATTTCAGACGATTGTAAAATTGTGATACTATATTCTTATTCCACATGTGCATTTAAATGTGTTGTCAATCATTAGTAGCACCACAGGAGTAAAGGTGTATTTACTCCTGTAAATGACTGAGCCAATAGTGATAGATTCTTATGAATAGAAGTCTAGGTTACAACAATGGCTGAGCCAATAGTGACACATTCTTATGAACAGGTCCAGGGTGAGTACTCAATGGCTAAGCCAATAGTGATAGATTCTTATGAACAGAAGTCCAGGGTTAGCATCAATGACTGAGCCAATAGTGATAGATTCTTATGAACAGAAGTCCAGGGTTAGCATCAGTGACTGAGCCAATAGTGATACATTCTTGTTAAGAGAAGTCCAGGTTGCATCAATGACTGAGCCAATAGTGACAGATTCTTATGGACAGAAGTCCAGGGTTAGCATCAGTGACTGATAACAGTGACACATTCTTGTTAACAGAAGTCCAGGTTAGCATCAACACTGATCCAATAGTGATACATTCTGCTAAGAGAAGTCCAGGATTAGCACCAATGGCTGAGCCAATAGTGATAGATTCTATGAACAAAAAGTCCAGGGTTGGGGCATAGTCCCTGCGCTCTGGTCACCTCAATCTACTACCTTTCTGTAATGTCTCATCTCAATACAGCATTGCCTGCACAGTTGTAAGTGCAACCTACAGTGCAAAGTCCTTTCTGAAGCCAAACTCGATTCAGGGGCTTTGTTTGCAGATGACGAACAATGATCAAACATGAATGAATAAATAATGACTCATTTCTCTGATCTTCTGCAGCAAGATATCAACAGCTGTCTTTATTTTAATTCAGTTTCCAGCGTGTTCCATCCAGGATGAAGTAGTGGATCCTGAGGTGCCCAGAAATCCCCCATCAGACACCACCACAAGCGTAAGAAGGAATTCTCCATCACTGGCCTCACAATCGTGTACTAATTCTAGAGTTGCATCAACGGAAGGTATCGTGAAATTCAGTTGTTCAGTTCATTCATGATATGATTTCAGATTCTTCAGTGTCTCATTTCAGACGACAAATTGTGATACTATATTCTTTGTCCCACATGTGCATATTTAAATGTGTTGTCAATCATTAGTATACAACTACAGGAGTAAAGGCATTTACTCCCAAATGACTGGAGCCAATAGTGATAGATTCTTATGAATAGAAGTCTAGGTTAGCATCAATGGCTGAGCCAATAGTGACACATTCTTAAGAACAGAAGTCCAGGGTGAGCATCAATGGCTAAGCCAACAGTGATAGATTCTTATGAACAGAAGTCCAGAGTTAAATCAATGACTGAGCCAATAGTGATAGATTCTTATGAAATAGAAGTCCAGGGTTAGCATCAGTTTCTGAGCCAATAGTGATACATTCTTGTTAAGAGAAGTCCAGGGTTAGCATCAATGACTGAGCCAATAGTGACAGATTCTCTATGGACAGAAGTCCAGGGTTGGGGCATCAGTGACTGACACAGTGACACATTCTGTTAACAGAAGTCCAGGGTTAGCATCAATGACTGAGCCAATAGTGATAGATTCTTATGAACAGAAGTCTAGGGTTAACATCAATGGCTGAGCCAATAGAGACACATTCTTATGAACAGAAGTCTAGGGTTAGCATCAATGACTGAGCCACTAGTAATACATTCTATGAGCAGAAGTCTAGGGTTAGCATCAATGACTGAGCCAATAGTGATAGATTCTATGAACAGAAGTCCAGGGTTAAAGTACCAATGGCTGAGCCAATAGTGATAGATTCTTATGAACAAAGTCCAGGTTGGGCATAGTCCCTATGCTCTTGGTCACTCCAATCTACTACCTTTCTGTAATGTCTCATCTCAATACAGGCATTTGCCTGCACAGTTGTAAGTGCAACCCACAGCAAGTCCTTTCTGAAGCCAAACTCGATTCAGGGGGCTTTGCCTGCAGATGACGAATGGATCAAACATGTAAGCTGTGAATAAATAATGACTCATTTCTCTGATCTTCTGCAGCAAGATATCAACAGCTGTTCTTATTTTAATTCAGTTTCCAGCGTGTTCCATCCAGATGAAGTAGTGGATCCTGAGGTGCCCAGGAAATCCCCATCAGACACCACCACAAGCGTAAGAAGGAATTCTCCATCACTGGCCTCACAATCGTAGGCTGTCTCTAGAGTTGCATCAACGGGAAGGTATTGGGAAATTCAGTTGTTCAGTTCATTCATGATATGATTTGTAGATTCTTCAGTGTCTCATATTTCAGACGATTGTAAAATTGTGATACTATATTCTTTATTCCACATGTGCATATTTAAATGTGTTAAGTCAATCATTAGTGCTGTGCTGCTAGAGTAAAAAGGTGTATTTACTCCTGTAAATGACTGAGCCAATAGTGATAGATTCTGCGAATAACAGGAATTCAGGGTTAGCATCAATGGCTGAGCCAATAGTGATAGATTCTTATCAACAGAAGCCCAGGGTTAGCATCAGTGACTGAGCCAATAGTGATAGATTCTTATGAACAGAAGTCAAGGGTTAGCATCAGTGATTGAGCCAATAGTGACACATTCTTGTTAACAGAAGTCTAGGGTTAGCATCAATGACTGATCCAATAGTGATAGATTCTTATGAACAGAAGTTCAGGGTTAGCATCAATGGCTAAGCCAATAGTAACACATTCTTATGAACAGAAGTCCAGGGTTAGCATCAATGACTGAGCCAATAGTGATAGATTCTTATGAACAGACATCTAGGTTAGCGTCAATGGCTGTCATTAGTGACATATCTCTTATGAACAGAAGTCCAGGGTTAGCATCAATGAATGAGCCAATAGTGATATGTTCTTATGACTTGTGAAGTCCGGGGTTAGGCATCACGACTCTGATCCAATAGTGATAGGATTCTCTTATGAACAGAAGTCCAGGGTTAGCATCAATGACTGAGCCAATAGTGATAGATTCTTATGAACAGAAGTCCAGGCCAGCATAGTCCCTATGCTCTTGGTCACTCCAATCTACTACCTTTCTGTAATGTCTCATCTCAATACAGGCATTTGCCTGCACAGTTGTAAGTGCAACCCACAGTGTAAGTCCTTTCTGAAGCCAAACTGGATTCAGGGGGCTTTGCTCTGCAGATGACGCAATAATGGGATCAAACATGTAAGCTGTGAATAAATAATGACTCATTTCTCTGATCTTCTGCAGCAAGATATCAACAGCTGTTTTTATTTTAATTCAGTTTCCAGCGTGTTCCATCCAGGATGAAGTAGTGGATCCTGAGGTGCCCAGGAAATCCCCCATCAGACACCACCACAAGCGTAAGAAGGGAATTCTCCATCACTGGCCTCACAATCGTGTACACCCTAGAGTTGCATCAACGGAAGGTATTGTGGAAATTCAGTTGTTCAGTTCATTCATGATATGATTTCTGATTCTTCAGTGTCTCATTTCAGACTTCCATTGTAAAATTGTGATACTATATTCTTTATTCCACATGTGCATATTTAAATGTGTTAAGTCAATCATTAGTGTTACAAACTTCACAGGAGTAAAGGTGTATTTACTCCTGTAAATGACTGAGCCAATAGTGATAGATTCTTATGAATAGAAGTCTAGGGTTAGCATCAATGGCTGAGCCAATAGTGACACATTCTTATGAACAGAAGTCCAGGGTGAGCATCAATGGCTAAGCCAATAGTGATAGATTCTATGAACAGAAGTCCAGGGTTAGCACTGACGACTGAGCCAATAGTGATAGATTCTTATGAACAGAAGTCCAGGGTTAGCATCAGTGACTGAGCCAATAGTGATACATTCTTGTTAAGAGAAGTCCAGGGTTAGCATCAATGACTGAGCCAATAGTGACAGATTCTTATGGACAGAAGTCCAGGTTACACTCAGTGACTGATACAATAGTGACACATTCTTGTTAACAGAAGTCCAGGGTTAGCATCAATGACTGAGCCAATAGTGATAGATTCTTATGAACAGAAGTCTAGGGTTAACATCAATGGCTGAGCCAATAGAGACACATTCTTATGAACAGAAGTCTAGGGTTAGCATCAATGACTGAGCCAATAGTAACACATTCTATGAGCAGAAGTCTAGGGTTAGCATCAATGACTGAGCCAATAGTGATAGATTCTTATGAACAGAAGTCCAGGGTTAGCACCAATGGCTGAGCCAATAGTGATAGATTCTCATGAACAAAGTCCAGGGTTAGCATAGTCCCTATGCTCTTGGTCACTCCAATCTACTACCTTTCTGTAATGTCTCATCTCAATACAGGCATTTGCCTGCACAGTTGTAAGTGCAACCCACAGTGTAAGTCCTTTCTGAAGCCAAACTCGGATTCAGGGGGCTTTGCTCTGCAGATGACGAACAATGGGATCAAACATGTAAGCTGTGAATAAATAATGACTCATTTCTCTGATCTTCTGCAGTGAAGATATCAACAGCTGTCTTTATTTTGTTCAGTTTCCAGCGTGTTCCATCCAGGATGAAGTAGTGGATCCTGAGGTGCCCAGGAAATCCCCCATCAGGACACCACCACAAGCGTAAGAAGGAATTCTCCATCACTGGCCTCACAATCGTACACCCTTTAGAGTTGCATCAACGAAGTGTATCGTGGAAATTCAGTTGTTCAGTTCATTCATGATATGATTTGTAGATTCTTCAGTGTCTCATATTTCAGACGATTGTAAAATTGTGATACTATATTCTTTATTCCACATGCATATTTAAATGTAAGCGTCAATCATTAGTGCTACAGCTACAGGAGTAAAGGTGTATTTACTCCTGTAAATGACTGAGCCAATAGTGATAGATTCTTATGAATAGAAGTCTAGGGTTAGGCATCAATGGCTGGTTTAGTGATAGATTCTTACTGAAGCCCAGGTTAGTACTGTGACTGAGCCAATAGTGATAGATTCTTAAGAACAAGTCAAGGGTTAGCATCAGTGATTGAGCCAATAGTGATACATTCTTGTTAAATAGAAGTCTAGGTTAGCATCAATAACTGATCCAATAGTGATAGATTCTTATGAACAGAAGTCTAGGTTAGCATCAATGGCTGGTTTAATAGTAAATACATTCTTATGAACAGAAGTCCAGGGTTGGGGCATCAATGACTGAGCTAATAGTGATAGATTCTTATGAACAGACATCTAGGTTAGCATCAATGGCTGGAGCAATAGTGACACATTCTTATGAACAGTAGTCCAGGGTTGGGGCATCAATGAATGAGCCAATAGTGATATGTTCTTATGATCAGAAGTCCGGGGTTAGCATCAATGACTGATCCAATAGTGATAGATTCTTATGAACAGAAGTCTAGGGTTAGCATCAATGACTGAGCCAATAGTGATAGATTCTTATGAATGAAGTCCAGGGTTAGCATAGTCCCTATGCTCTTGGTCACTCCAATCTACTACCTTTCTGTGTCAATGTCTCATCTCAATACAGGATTTGCCTGCACAGTTGTGGGTGCAACCTACAGTGTGTGTCCTTTCTTGGCCAAACTCGATTCAGGGGCTTTGCTCTGCAGATGACGAACAATGGGATCAAACATGTAAGCTGTGAATAAATAATGACTCATTTCTTCATCTTCTGCAGCAAGATATCAACAGCTGTCTTTATTTTAATTCAGTTTCAGCGTGTTCATCCAGGATGAAGTAGTGGATCCTGAGGTGCCCAGGAAATCCCCCATCAGACACCACCACAAGCGTAAGAAGGGAATTCTCCATCACTGGCCTCACAATCGTGTACACCCTAGAGTTGCATCAACGGAAGGTATTGTGGAAATTCAGTTGTTCAGTTCATTCATGATATGATTTCTAGATTCTTCAGTGTCTCATATTTCAGACGATTGTAAAATTGTGATACTATATTCTTTATTCCACATGTGCATATTTAAATGTGTTAAGTCAATCATTAGTGTTACAAACCACAGGAGTAAAGGTGTATTTACTCCTGTAAATGACTGAGCCAATAGTGATAGATTCTTAAGTGAATAGAAGCCCAGGGTTAGCATCAATGGCTGAGCCAATAGTGACACATTCTTATGAACAGGAAGTCCAGGGTGAGCATCAATGGCTAAGCCATTAGTGATAGATCTTCTTATGAACAGAAGTCCAGGGTTAGCATCAATGACTGATCCAATAGTGATAGATTCTTATGAACAGAAGTCCAGGGTTAGTATCAGTGACTGAGCCAATAGATACACTCTGTTAAGAGAAGTCCAGGGTTAGCATCAATGACTGAGCCAATAGTGACAGATTCTTATGGACAGAAGTCCAGGGTTAGCATCAGTGACTGAAGGGCAATAGTGACATCTTGTTAACAGAAGTCCAGGTTGGCATCAATGACTGAGCCAATAGTGATAGATTCTTATGAACAGAAGTCTAGGGTTAACATCAATGGCTGAGCCAATAGAGACACATTCTTATGAACAGAAGTCTAGGGTTAGCATCAATGACTGAGCCAATAGTAACACATTCTATGAGCAGAAGTCTAGGGTTAGCATCAATGACTGATCCAGTAGTGATACATTCTTGTTAAGAGAAGTCCAGGGTTAGCACCAATGGCTGAGCCAATAGTGATAGATTCTTATGAACAAAAGTCCAGGGTTAGCATAGTCCCTATGCTCTTGGTCACTCCAATCTACTACCTTTCTGTAATGTCTCATCTCAATACAGGCATTTGCCTGCACAGTTGTAAGTGCAACCCACAGTGTAAGTCCTTTCTGAAGCCAAACTCGGATTCAGGGGCTTTGCCTGGCAGATGACGAACACGGGGATCAAACATGTAAGCTGTGAATAAATAATGACTCATTTCTCTGATCTTCTGCAGCAAGATATCAACAGCTGTCTTTATTTTATTTCAGTTTCCAGCGTGTTCCATCCAGGATGAAGTAGTGGATCCTGAGGTGCCCAGGAAATCCCCATCAGACACCACCACAAGCTTAAGAAGGGAATTCTCCACTACTGGCCTCACAATCGTGTACACTTAGAGTTGCATCAACGGAAGGTATTGTGGAAATTCAGTTGTTCAGTTCATTCATGATATGATTTGTAGATTCTTCAGTGTCTCATATTTCAGATGATTGTAAAATTGTGATACTATATTCTTTATTCCACATGTGCATATTTAAATGTGTTAAGTCAATCATTAGTGCTACAACTACAGGAGTAAAGGTGTATTTACTCCTGTAAATGACTGAGCCAATAGTGATAGATTCTTATGAATAGAAGTCTAGGGTTAGGCATCAATGGCTGAGCCTAACAGTGATAGATTCTTATGAACAGAAGCCCAGGGTTAGCATCAGTGACTGAGCCAATAGTGATAGATTCCTATGAACAGAAGTCAAGGGTTAGGCATCAGTGATTGAGTCAATAGTGACACATTCTGTTAACAGGTCTAGGTTAGCATCAATGACTGATCCAATAGTGATAGATTCTTATGAACAGAAGTCTAGGGTTAGTACTGGGTCAGCTAAGCCAATAGTAATACATTCTTATGAACAGAAGTCCAGGGTTAGCATCAATGACTGAGCCAATAGTGATAGATTCTTATGAACAGACATCTAGGGTTAGCATCAATGGCTGAGCCAATAGTGACACATTCTTATGAACAGAAGTCCAGGGTTAGCATCAATGAATGAGCCAATAGTGATATGTTCTTATGATCAGAAGTCCGGGGTTAGCATCAATGACTGATCCAATAGTGATAGATTCTTATGAACAGAAGTCCAGGGTTAGCATCAATGACTGAGCCAATAGTGATAGATTCTGCGAACAGAAGTCCAGGGTTAGCATAGTCCCTATGCTCTTGGTCACTCCAATCTACTACCTTTCTGTAATGTCTCATCTCAATACAGGCATTTGCCTGCACAGTTGTAAGTGCAAACCTTACAGTGTAAGTCCTTTCGAAGCCAAACCTCGGATTCGGGGCTTGCTCTGCAGATGACGAACAATGGGATCAAACATGTAAGCTGTGAATAAATAATGACTCATTTCTCTGATCTTCTGCAGCAAGATATCAACAGCTGTCTTTATTTTAATTCAGTTTCCAGCGTGTTCCATCCAGGATGAAGTAGTGGATCCTGAGGTGCCCAGGAAATCCCCCATCAGACACCACCACAAGCGTAAGAAGGAATTCTCCATCACTGGCCTCACAATCGTGTACACCCCAGAGTTGCATCAACGGAAGGCATTGTGGAAATTCAGCTGTTCAGTTCATTCCATGATATGATTTCTAGATTCTTCAGTGTCTCATATTTAGATGATTGTAAATTGTGATACTATATTTTATTCTATATGTGCATATTTAAATGTGTTAAGTCAATCATTAGTGCTACAACTACAGGAGTAAAGTGTGTGCATTTACTCCTGTAAAATGACTGGAGCCAATAGTGACAGATTCTCATGAATAGAAGTCTAGGTTAGCATCAATGGCTGAGCCAATAGTGATAGATTCTTATCAACAGAAGCCCAGGTTAGTATCAGTGACTGAGCCAATAGTGATAGATTCCTATGAACAGAAGTCAAGGGTTAGCATCAGTGATTGAGCCAATAGTGACACATTCTGTTAACAGAAGTCTAGGTTAGGCATCAATGACTGATCCAATAGTGATAGATTCTTAAGTGAACAGAAGTCTAGGGTTGGGGCATCAATGGCTAAGCCAATAGTAACACATTCTTATGAACAGAAGTCCAGGGTTAGCATCAATGACTGAGCCAATAGTGATAGATTCTTATGAACAGACATCTAGGGTTAGCATCAATGGCTGAGCCAATAGTGACACATTCTTATGAACAGAAGTCCAGGGTTAGCATCAATGAATGAGCCAATAGTGATATGTTCTTATGATCAGAAGTCCAGGGTTAGCATCAATGACTGATCCAATAGTGATAGATTCTTATGAACAGAAGTCCGGGGTTAGCATCAATGACTGAGCCAATAGTGATAGATTCTATGAACAGAAGTCCAGGTTAGCATAGTCCCTATGCTCTGGTCACTCCACCTACTACCTTTCTGTAATGTCTCATCTCAATACAGGCATTTGCCTGCACAGTTGTAAGTGCAACCCATAGCAGTCCTTTCTGAAGCCAAACTGGATTCAGGGGCTTGCTCTGCAGATGACGAACAATGGGATCAAACATGTAAGCTGTGAATAAATAATGACTCATTTCTCTGATCTTCTGCAGCAAGATATCAACAGCTGTCTTTATTTTAATTCAGTTTCCAGCGTGTTCCATCCAGGATGAAGTAGTGATCCTGAGGTGCCCAGAAATCCCATCAGACACCACCACAAGCGTAAGAAGGAATTCTCCATCACTGGCCTCACAATCGTACACCTCTAGAGTTGCATCAACGGAAGGTATTGTGGAAATTCAGTTGTTCAGTTCATTCATGATATGATTTCTAGATTCTTCAGTGTCTCATATTTCAGACGATTGTAAAATTGTGATACTTGCCTTATTCCACATGCATATTTAAATGTGTTAAGTCAATCATTAAAGCACAACTACAGGAGTAAAGGTGTATTTACTCCTGTAAATGACTGAGCCAATAGTGATAGATTCTTATGAATAGAAGTCTAGGGTTAGCATCAATGGCTGAGCCAATAGTGACACAGCCCTTATGAACAGAAGTCCAGGGTGAGCATCAATGGCTAAGCCAATAGTGATAGATTCTTATGAACAGAAGTCCAGGGTTAGCATCAATGACTGAGCCAATAGTGATAGATTCTTATGAACAGAAGTCCAGGGTTAGCATCAGACTGAGCCAATAGTGATACATCTGTTAAGAGAAGTCCAGGGTTAGCATCAATGACTGAGCCAATAGTGACAGATTCTGCGGACAGAAGTCCAGGGTTAGCATCAGTGACTGATACAATATACAGCTCTGTTAACAGAAGTCCAGGTTAGCATCAATGACTGATCCAATAGTGCGATACATTCTTGTTAAGAGAGAGAAGTCCAGATTAGCACCAATGGCTGAGCCAATAGTGATAGACTCTATGAACAAAAGTCCAGGCACATAGTCCCTACATGCTCTTGGTCACTCCAATCTACTACCTTTCTGTAATGTCTCATCTCAATACAGGCATTTGCCTGCACAGTTGTAAGTGCAACCCACAGTGTAAGTCCTTTCTGAAGCCAAACTCGGATTCAGGGCTTCGCCCTGCAGATGACGCAATGGACTGGAAACATGTAAGCTGTGAATAAATAATGACTCATTTCTCTGATCTTCTGCAGCAAGATATCAACAGCTGTCTTTATTTTAATTCAGTTTCAGCGGTGTTCCATCCAGGATGAAGTAGTGGATCCTGAGGCTCCAGGAAATCCCCCCATCAGACACCACCACAAGCGTAAGAAGGGAATTCTCCATCACTGGCCTCACAATCGTGTACACCCTAGAGTTGTACCAACGAAGGTATCGTGGAAATTCAGTTGTTCAGTTCATTCATGATATGATTTCTAGATTCTTCAGTGTCTCATATTTCAGACGATTGTAAAATTGTGATACTATATTCTTTATTCCACATGTGCATATTTAAATGTGTTAAGTCAATCATTAGTGCTACAACTATGTGGAGTAAAGGTGTATTTACTCCTGTAAATGACTGGAGTCAATAGTGATAGATTCTTATGAATAGAAGTCTAGGGTTAGCATCAATGGCTGAGCCAATAGTGACACATTCTTATGAACAGAAGTCCAGGGTGAGCATCAATGGCTAAGCCAATAGTGATAGATTCTTATGAACAGAAGTCCAGAGTTAGCATCAATGACTGAGCCAATAGTGATAGATTCTTATGAACAGAAGTCCAGGGTTAGCACTAGTTTCTGGAGCCAATAGTGATACATTCTTGTTAAGAGAAGTCCAGGGTTAGCATCAATGACTGAGCCAATAGTGACAGATTCTTATGGACAGAAGTCCAGGGTTAGCATCAGTGACTGATACAATAGTGACACATTCTGTTAACAGAAGTCCAGGGTTAGCATCAATGACTGGAGCTAATAGTGATAGATCTTACAATGAAGTCTAGGGTTAACATCAATGGTTGAGCCAATAGAGACATACATTCTTATGAACAGAAGTCTAGGGTTAGCATCAATGACTGAGCCAATAGTAACACATTCTATGAGCAGAAGTCTAGGTTAGCACTTCAATGACTGAGCCAATAGTGATAGATTCTTATGAACAGAAGTCCAGGGTTAGCACCAATGGCTGAGCCAATAGTGATAGATTCTTATGAACAAAAGTCCAGGGTTAGCATAGTCCCTATGCTCTTGGTCACTCCAATCTACTACCTTTCTGTAATGTCTCATCTCAATACAGGCATTTGCCTGCACAGTTGTAAGTGCAACCTACAGTGTAAGTCCTTTCTGAAGCCAAACTCGATTCAGGGGCTTTGCTCTGCAGATACTTAACAATGGGATCAAACATGTAAGCTGTGAATAAATAATGACTCATTTCTCTGATCTTCTGCAGCAAGATATCAACAGCTGTCTTTATTTTAATTCAGTTTCCACAAGTTCCATCCAGGATGAAGTAGTGGATCCTGGGAGGTGCCCAGAAATCCCCCCATCAGACACCACCACAAGCGTAAGAAGGAATTCTCCATCACTGGCCTCACAATCGCAGTACACCCTAGAGTTGCATCAACGGAAGGTATTGTGGAAATTCAGTTGTTCAGTTCATTCATGATATGATTTCTAGATTCTTCAGTGTCTCATATTTCAGACGATTGTAAAATTGTGATACTATTCTTTATTCCACATGTGCATATTTAAATGCTAAGTCAATCATTGGGTGTTACAAATCTACAGGGAGTAAAGGTATTTACTCCTGTAAATGACTGAGCCAATAGTGATAGATTCTCATGGAATAGAAGTCTAGGTTAGCATCAATGGCTGAGCCAATAGTGATAGATTCTATCAACAGAAGCCCAGGTTGAAGCATCGTGACTGAGCCAATAGTGATAGATTCTTATGAACAGAAGTCAAGGGTTAGCATCAGTGATTGAGCCAATAGTGACACATTCTTGTTAACAGAAGTCTAGGGTTAGCATCAATGACTGATCCAATAGTGATAGATTCTTATGAACAGAAGTCTAGGGTTAGCATCAATGGCTAAGCCAATAGTAACACATCTTTTAAGGAACAGAAGTCCAGGGTTAGCATCAATGACTGAGCCAATAGTGATAGATTCTTATGAACAGACATCTAGGGTTAAAGGCCAATGGCTGAGCCAATAGTGACACATTCTTATGAACAGAAGTCCAGGGTTAGCATCAATGAATGAGCCAATAGTGATATGTTCTTATGATCAGAAGTCCAGGGTTAGCATCAATGACTGATCCAATAGTGATAGATTCTATGAACAGAAGTCCAGGGTTAGCATCAATGACTGAGCCAATAGTGATAGATTCTTATGAACAGAAGTCCAGGGTTAGCATAGTCCCTATGCTCTTGGTCACTCCAATCTACTACCTTTCTGTAATGTCTCATCTCACACAGGCATTTGCCTGCACAGTTGTAAGTGCAACCTACAGTGTAAGTCCTTCTGAAGCCAACCTCGATTCAGGGGGCTTTGCTCTGCAGATGACGAACAATGGGATCAAACATGTAAGCTGTGAATAAATAATGACTCATTTCTCTGATCTTCTGCAGCAAGATATCAACAGCTGTTTTTATTTTAATTCAGTTTCCAGCGTGTTCCATCCAGGATGAAGTAGTGGATCCTGAGGTGCCCAGGAAATCCCCCATCAGACACCACCACAAGCGTAAGAAGGGAATTCTCCATCACTGGCCTCACAACTGTACAATTCTAGAGTTGCATCAACGGAAGGTATTGTGGAAATTCAGTTGTTCAGTTCATTCATGATATGATTTCTAGATTCTTCAGTGTCTCATATTTCAGACGATTGTAAAATTGTGATACTATATTCTTTATTCCACATGTGCATATTTAAATGTGTTGTCAATCATTATTAGTGCTACAACTACAGGAGTAAAGGTGTATTTACTCCTGTAAATGACTGAGCCAATAGTGATAGATTCTTATGAATAGAAGTCTAGGGTTAGCATCAATGGCTGAGCCAATAGTGACACATTCTTATGAACAGAAGTCCAGGGTGAGCATCAATGGCTAAGCCAATAGTGATAGATCTTTATGAATTGGTAGAAGTCCAGGTTGGGGCATCAATGACTGGAGCCAATAGTGATAGATTCTTATGAACAGAAGTCCAGGGTTAGCATCAGTGACTGAGCCAATAGTGATACATTCTTGTTAAGAGAAGTCCAGGGTTAGCATCAATGACTGAGCCAATAGTGACAGATTCTTATGGACAGAAGTCCAGGGTTAGCATCAGTGACTGATACAATAGTGACACATTCTTGTTAACAGAAGTCCAGGGTTAGCATAAATGACTGAGCCAATAGTGATAGATTCTTATGAACAGAAGTCTAGGGTTAAACGATCAATGGCTGAGCCAGGAGACACATTCTATGAACAGAAGTCTAGGGTTAGCATCAATGACTGGAGCAATAGTAACACATCTCTATGAGCAGTAGTCTAGGTTGGCATCACTGTAATGACTGATCCAGTAGTGATACATTCTTGTTAAGAGAAGTCCAGGGTTAGCACCAATGGCTGAGCCAATAGTGATAGATTCTTATGAACAAAGCTCCAGGGTTAGCATAGTCCCTATGCTCTTGGTCACTCCAATCTACTACCTTTCTGTAATGTCTCATCTCAATACAGGCATTTGCCTGCACAGTTGTAAGTGCAACCCACAGTGTAAGTCCTTTCTGAAGCCAAACTCGGATTCAGGGGGCTTGCCTGCAGATGACGAACACCGATCAAACATGTAAGCTGTGAATAAATAATGACTCATTTCTCTGATTCTGCAGCAAGATATCAACAGCTGTCTTTATTTTTATTTCAGTTTCCAGCGTGTTCCATCCAGATGAAGTAGTGGATCCTGAGGTGCCCAGGAAACTCCCATCAGACACCACCACAAGCGCAAGAAGGAATTCTCCATCACTGGCCTCACAATCGTACACTCTAGAGTTGCATCAACGGAAGGTATTGTGGAACCCCAGTTGTTCAGTTCATTCATGATATGATTTCTAGATTCTTCAGTGTCTCCCATATTTCAGACGATTGGTAAATTGTGATACTATATTCTTTATTCCACATGTGCATATTTAAATGTAAGTTGTCATCAATCATTAGTGTTACAACTACAGGAGTAAAGCGTATTTATTGTAAAATGACTGAGCCAATAGTGATAGATTCTTATGAATAGAAGTCTAGGGTTAGCATCAATGGCTGAGCCAATAGTGATATAGATTCTTATCAACAGAAGCCCAGGCTAGCATCAGTGACTGAGCCAATAGTGATAGATTCCTATGAACAGAAGTCAAGGGTTAGCACTGTGTGATTGAGCCAACAGTGACACATTCTGTTAACAGAAGTCTAGGCTAGCATCAATGATTGATCCAATAGTGATAGATTCTTAAGAACAGAAGTCTAGGTTAGCATCAATGGCTAAGCCAATAGTAAATAATATTCTATGAACAGAAGTCCAGGGTTAGCATCAATGACTGAGCCAATAGTGATAGATTCTTATGAACAAGACATCTAGGTTAGCATCAATGGCTGAGCCAATAGTGACACATTCTTATGAACAGAGTCCAGGTTGCATCAATGAATGAGCCAATAGTGATATGTTCTTATGATCAGAAGTCCGGGGTTAGCATCAATGACTGATCCAATAGTGATAGATTCTTATGAACAGAAGTCCAGGGTTAGCATCAATGACTGAGCCAATAGTGATAGATTCTTATGAACAGAAGTCCAGGGTTACATAGTCCCTATGCTCTTGGTCACTCCACCTACTACCTTTCTGTAATGTCTCATCTCAATACAAGGGCATTTGCCTGCACAGTTGTGGGTGCAACTCACAAGTAAGTCCTTTCTGAAGCCAAATCCCTGGATTCAGGGGGCTTTTGTCGGCAGATGACGAACAATGGGATCAAACATGTAAGCTAGAATAAATAATGACTCATTTCTCTGATCTTCTGCAGCAAGATATCAACAGCTGTCTTTATTTTAATTCAGTTTCCAGCGTGTTCCATCCAGGATGAAGTAGTGGGATCCTGAGGTGCCTAGAAATCCCCATCAGGATACCACCACAAGCGTAGAAGATACCTTCCATCACTGGCCTCACAATCGTGTACACCCTAGAGTTGCATCAACGGAAGGTATTGTGAAATTCAGTTGTTCAGTCTATTCATGATATGATTTCTAGATTCTTCAGTGTCTCATATTTCAGACGATTGTAAAATTGTGATACTATAATTTTATTCCACATGTGCATATTTAAATGCATAAGTCAATCATTAGTGCTACAACTACAGGAGTAAAGGTGTATTTACTCCTGTAAATGACTGAGCCAATAGTGATAGATTCTTATGAATAGAAGTCTAGGGTTAGCATCAATGGCTGAGCCAATAGTGACACATTCTTATGAACAGAAGTCCAGGGTGAGCATCAATGGCTAAGCCATTAGTGATAGATTCTTATGAACAGAAGTCTGTGGGTTAGGCATCAATGACTGGAGCCAATAGTGAGCAGATTCTTAAGTGAACAGAAGTCCAGGGTTAGCATCAGTGACTGAGCCAATAGTGATACATTCTTGTTAAGAGAAGTCTGTGGTTAGCATCAATGACTGAGCCAATAGTGACAGATTCTTATGGACAGAAGTCCAGGGTTAGCATCAGTGACTGATACAATAGTGACACATTCTTGTTAACAGAAGTCCAGGTTAGCATCAAATGACTGATCCAATAGTGATACATTCTTGTTAAGAGAAGTCCAGGGTTAGCACCAATGGCTGAGCCAATAGTGATAGATTCTTATGAACAAAAGTCCAGGGTTAGCATAGTCCCTATGCTCTTGGTCACTCCAATCTACTACCTTTCTGTAATGTCTCATCTCAATACAGGCATTTGCCTGCACAGTTGTAAGTGCAACCCACAGTGTAAGTCCTTTCTGAAGCCAAACTTGGATTCAGGGGGCTTTGCTTTGCAGATGACGAACAATGGGATCAAACATGTAAGCTGTGAATAAATAATGACTCATTTCTCTGATCTTCTGCAGCAAGATATCAACAGCTGTCTTTATTTTATTTCAGTTTCCAGCGTGTTCCATCCAGGATGAAGTAGTGGATCCTGAGGTGCCCAGGAAATCCCCCATCAGACACCACCACAAGCGTAAGAAGGGAATTCTCCATCACTGGCCTCACAATCGTGTACACCCTAGAGTTGCATCAACGGAAGGTATCGTGGAAATTCAGTTGTTCAGTTCATTCATGATATGATTTCTAGATTCTTCAGTGTCTCATATTTCAGACGATTGTAAAATTGTGATACTATATTCTTTATTCCACATGTGCATATTTAAATGTGTTAAGTCAATCATTAGTGCTACAACTACAGGAGTAAAGGTGTATTTCCTTTCCAAGTTTGGGTTTACTTTTCATAGTAAATAACATCTCAGTGCAAATTGTAGACATTTTGCTGATTGTTAAAATATTAACTAAAAGGGATCTTTTTCTGAGACAGTATTGCCAGGTTTGTAAAGTGGTGGACATCACTTCAAACTGTTTGGAAGTAACCTAAAAATGGAGGAAGTGGTATCAAAAATTTCCATATACCCACCTTCCTCAGTTTTGTTTTGTGAGCCAATCTTACATGAGTGTGATAACGCTTGTAACAATGACTGAGCCAATAGTGACACATTCTTATGAACAGAAGTCCAGGGTGAGCATCAATGGCTAAGCCAATAGTGATAGATTCTTATGAACAGAAGTCCAGAGTTAGCATCAATGACTGAGCCAATAGTGATAGATTCTTATGAACAGAAGTCCAGGGTTAGCATCAGTTTCTGAGCCAATAGTGATACATTCTTGTTAAGAGAAGTCCAGGGTTAGCATCAATGACTGAGCCAATAGTGACAGATTCTTATGGACAGAAGTCCAGGGTTAGCATCAGTGACTGATACAATAGTGACACATTCTTGTTAACAGAAGTCCAGGGTTAGCATCAATGACTGAGCCAATAGTGATAGATTCTTATGAACAGAAGTCTAGGGTTAACATCAATGGCTGAGCCAATAGAGACACATTCTTATGAACAGAAGTCTAGGGTTAGCATCAATGACTGAGCCAATAGTAACACATTCTATGAGCAGAAGTCTAGGGTTAGCATCAATGACTGAGCCAATAGTGATAGATTCTTATGAACAGAAGTCCAGGGTTAGCACCAATGGCTGAGCCAATAGTGATAGATTCTTATGAACAAAAGTCCAGGGTTAGCATAGTCCCTATGCTCTTGGTCACTCCAATCTACTACCTTTCTGTAATGTCTCATCTCAATACAGGCATTTGCCTGCACAGTTGTAAGTGCAACCCACAGTGTAAGTCCTTTCTGAAGCCAAACTTGGATTCAGGGGGCTTTGCTTTGCAGATGACGAACAATGGGATCAAACATGTAAGCTGTGAATAAATAATGACTCATTTCTCTGATCTTCTGCAGCAAGATATCAACAGCTGTCTTTATTTTATTTCAGTTTCCAGCGTGTTCCATCCAGGATGAAGTAGTGGATCCTGAGGTGCCCAGGAAATCCCCCATCAGACACCACCACAAGC